GGTATGTTGAGAAAAAGGTAAGCAAAGGTACAATATTAAACCATAACTGCCTAAAATTAACTGTAGTACATGATGTACTACCATAATAATTTTGTAGCCACCTCCTATTGCTATTGAGGTGAGCTCAAGTGTTGTATCCATTTAAAAATGCTGTATGACACTAATCATCTCCGTGTAACTCATCTCTCTAGTAAATTGTGTACTGCAGTAAAAAGTGATCTCTCATAGCTCTCATGTAGTTTTCATCATGTTTAGTGCAGTATCACAAACCTTGAATAATACCATGGGACCCGTACAAAGTGCCACTAGTGATGCTGGAAATGCTCCCAAGAAGCAGAGAAAAGTCATGACATTCCAAGAAAAAGTTAATATGAGGTTTGCAGCTGTGGTTACCTGCCACTTTAACATGAATGAATCCAGTGTAAGGACCTTTGTAAGAAAAGGAAATTCCTGAAGCTGTCATGGCAGCTACACCAGCAGGTGTGAAAACCTTGCACTTTTTGCAAAATACCTTTTTATCTTGTGTTGAAATATACAGCTTTTATATGGGTACAGGATTGCTATAAGAAAGGCATATCTGTAGACTCTAATATGATTCGAGAAAAAAAGCAAAGTCATTATATGAAACTTAGAGCAAAAGAAAGGAGAAGGATCTAAGGATCTCAACCTGGAGAATTTAATGCCAGCAAAGAATGGTTTAATAATTTTAGAAAGAGATTTGGCTTAAAATATATCAAGATAACAGGAGAAGCAGCTTCCACCATCCAAGAGGGAGCAGATAAGTTGTCAGACACCACAAAAATCATTAAGGACAAAGGATATCTGCCTGAACAGGTTTTTAATGTAGATGAAAGTGTCCTATTCTGGGGGGAAAAAATGCTACAAAGGACATTTATTAGTAAGGAAGAGAAGGAAGCACCTGGATTTAAGGCAGGAAGGGATAGGCTAACTTTACTGTTGTATGCAAATGCATTTGGGGTTCATGATTAGGACTTCCCTTATCTATAAAGCTGTTAACCCCAGAGCCTTGAAGGGAAATGATAAACACCAGTTGCCAGTCTTTTGGTTGTACAGCAAAAAGGCCTGGAAGATGAGAATATTTTTTCCAAACTGGTTCCATCGATTCTTTGTTCCTGAAGTCAGGAAGTACCTTGCCAGCAAGGGACTGCTTTGTAAAGTTCTTTTAATGTTGGGTAATGCCCCTATCCACCCAGAACCCTACGAGTTCAATATCAAAAGCATCAAAGTGGCTTACTTGCCCCCAAACACATTTCTTTTCTTTTCTTTTTTTTTTTTTAAGATTTTATTTATTTATTTGAGAGAGAGAGACACAGCGAGAGCAGGAACACAAGCAGGGGGAGTGGGAGAGGGAGAAGCAGGCCCCCCGCCGAGCAGGGAGCCCGATGTAGGGCTCGATCCCAGGACCCTGGGATCATGACCTGAGCCAAAGGCAGACGCTTAACGACTGAGCCACCCAGAGGCCCCCCCCAAACACATTTCTAATTCAGGGGGTCCTAAGGGGATCATTAGGCTCGTTAATCATAATATTCTATGGAAAGGGATATTAATTCTATGGAATAGAACCCGTGATAGAATACCATGAAAATCTAGAAGTATTACACCACTGAAAATGCCATTGCTGTTATAGGAAAAGCCATGGAAGCCATCAAGTCTGAAACAGTAAATTCCTGCTGGAGAAAACCAAGTCCAGATGGTGTGTGTGACTTCAAAAGATTTACCCCAGAGCCAATTAAGGAAATCATGAAAGACTGGATATGGCAAAAAAAAAAAAAAGGCAGGGGATGGGGGAGCGGGTCAGGGAGGTGGTGGTAAAGGGCTTCAGAATATGGATCTTGGAGAAATTCAAGAGCTAATAGATACCACACCAGAGAGATTAACAGAAGATGACTTGATAGAGATTAATGCTTCCAAACCGGTGCCTAATGATGAAGACGACACAGAGAAAGCAGCGCCAGAAAACAAACTGACCTTAGACAGTATGGCAGAAGGTTCCTATTATTCAAAGACTGCCTTTGACTTGCTTTAGGACATGGACCCTTCTGTGCTATGGGCACCAAAACTAAAGCAAATGGTGGAAGAACAACCGGTGCTGTATAGAAATATTTTTAGAAAAATAACAGAGCAAAAAGTCCGACAGAAATGGCAAGGTATTACTGTAAAGTTACAGCGAGTGTACATGCCTCTCCTGCCTCCCTTTCCGTCTCCTCCGCTTCTCTGATGCCAAGACCAGCGCCTCATCCTCCTCCCTCACGCATCCAGTGTGAAGATGATGAGGGTGAAGACCTAATGATCCACTTCCTCATAGTGAACAGTAAGTGATTACCGTGCTGTGGAGCTAATGAACTTATCTGTGGTGCATGTGTTTGCATGAAAATCCAATAACTGTATAGTAGGAACTGTGTGAGATGCTTTGGTGTTACTGCTTCAGTTTTCATTATGTCGAGTATCAGGTGCAAGACTTGTATGGAAGTGGATAGCATTTCCTTACACAGGCATGTAGTGAGTGATACTTAATATGAAATTAATGTGTTAGTTTACTTACTGTCTCATAACTTTTCTTTCAAAGAATTACATTGACATACAATATGCCTCTCTCTTGTAATCAGAGAAACTGCATTATCAGCCTATCAGCACAGGTAAGTGGTTTAAATATTTGCTCTTGGGGAGCTAAGGTGGTGTCTGTTGCCCTAAAGTAATTCTCAATGTTCAGTTAATGTTTTCTGATTTGCTTTTTAACTAATTAACTGACAACACACATACACATGCATATACACACACACAATATATATATATATAAATAAATAAAATCTTTAAAATAAAGGTGAATTTCTTTTTGACATTATCTTTTCATTTTTGATGTCTAGCATTAGTAATACATATAATATCTACAGTGTTTTATATCATATAAGACATTATTGATATAGGCACTGACATAATTTATCAATACTGTAAATTTACACCATCTGCTTACAAGATAAATTATTTATTTGACAGAGAGAGACCCAGCGAGAGAGGGAACACAAGCAGGGGAAGTGGGAGAGGGAGAAGCAGGCTTCCCGCGGAGCAGGGAACCCAACGCAGGGCTCGATCCTAGGACCCTGGGATCATGACCTGAGCCGGAGGCAGATGCTTAATGACATGCATTGATAATGAAGCAACAATATGATTGCTTTATGATAGCCTAGCCTGTACACTAAGGAATGTATCATTATAAAATTTTTATGGTATATAGTATTAGTCTTATTCATAATACAACAGTGGAAACTTTTCTTTTTTAAACCACTTACCTGTGCTGTATTCTTATAATAAAACTAGAGAAAAGCTTTCTGAGAAAATCATAAGGAAAATACATTTACAGCACCCAAATTACCTAAGCCTCAGTTTCTTCATCTGTAAATGGAGGATTATTGTGGGGATTAAATAGAAAGCATCTAGCACAATGTCAACCACAAACTCAGTACTCCCTGCTAGCACTTGTACTCCTTCTTTTCCCTTTGATGTATCTTTTATGGCCCAGTCCAATTTTCCTCCTTTTTAATCAAGGCAGAAGTAAATTTTTACTGACTCTGAGCTCCTATGGAACTAAATCTTCAATATAAGTATTTTGATGTTGTTCATTTTAAGACTGTCTTTTTATGTGTTTGGCATATTTGCCTAAAATATTTGCTCTTGGAGAGCTAAGGTGGTGTCTGTTGCCCTAAAGTAATTCTCAATGTTCAGTTAATGTTTTCTGATTTGCTTTTTAACTAATTAACTGACAACACACACACACACACACACACACACACAAAATATATATATAAATATGATGGCAGCAACTTCAAACCTTTTCCACTTTTCCCAAGCTTCTGGCCTTGACCCCATCCTAGGACCCTCCTCAGTCACCTACCTCTCTTGCACCTTCACAGGGGAGGAAAAGCCATCAGATAATAGCTTCCTTTGTCTTTTCTACCAGACCCCGGAGTTCTCTTTTCTCCTCCTCCTAAGGAAAATCCTTCCACCTATGTCTGGATCTCTTGCTCTCCAGTCTTTTCAGGGGACTTGTTCAATGGGTGATCTGCCCCTTCTGAAGTGTTGTCACCCTCTCCCTCTTAATCTCTTCTCACCTTGAACATGCTCAAGGCTCTCTCATGCTTGAAGAATCCTGTGTGATTACACATTTCCATCTGGCTGCATTCTCCCTCATTCCCTCACCTCAAGCCAAACCTCTCCAAAAAAAGTAGACTGCTCCCTGCCTTCCACCTATCTCTCCCCACACAGCAGTCTGTCTCCCTGTCACTCTTTCCAAAGTAACCACCCACCCCTTTGATGCCAAAATCAGTAGGTTCCTTTCAGTCATTATCTTAAAGACTTAATTATTTAATCAGATTTCAACAGTTAATAGTACATTTGGTTGTCCATTTGTGTCTCCCCTCCCCTCCAAGAATGTAAGCTCCGTTATGGAGCTGTCTTGTTCATTTTTAGATCTCTGTGTTGTGATCTCTTTAGAATAACTACTTGTTGACTGAATAGATCTTGCCCTCTTCATGGCAAATTTTACTTTCCCCATCAAAGCACATTTCACACACTGATTATCCGTTTGCTTATCTGTAACCCACCAGAGGCATGGTTAGAGCAGAGACAGTGCTCTTGATAGTTCTATCACCAAGCACAGGATCTTGACTAGAACGCCAAAAAAATGTGTATTGACTGAATGACTGAACGGAAAATAAGAAAAGGGAAAGGTTTTTATGGCGTGGTAAGTAAAGAAGAGTAACACACACAGACATTCCTTATTTCCTAATTTTGCCAGAACTGATGACTGGATAGTTGACCTGAAACAATACACAAATAATTCATTAAAGAGAATTCATTACCACTAAGTTATTATTTAGTGTCCATTTTCTCTCCAGCTAAATTACCTTGGGCTCCCACTTACTGGTAAAAACCTCCAGGCAGGTTTCCTCTAATTAGGACAAAGAAATAAATAGCATATATACCTGGTTTTTCCTGTATCCAGTCAGACAACCATTTTAAATGGCAATCACAGGTCCATGGGTTCCCATGAAGATAAAGGCTTTCCAAATCAGGCATATTGGAAATCATCTCTTGAGGTAGGGAACTCAGGAAGTTATCAGACAAGTATAGGTACTTAATGAAAGATGTTTTAAATATCTGGAGGTATTTCAAAGAGACAAATGTATCTGGATGGAGCTTAGTGAGCTGATTTCCTTCCAGGTGCACCAGTCGGAGAAAGGTGAGTCCATAAAAAACCTCTGGGTTTATAAACTCAATATTGTTGTGGTCCATATGCAACCGTGTCAAGCTCCTGAGGCCATAAAAAGTATCTTTCTGAAGTTTTCGGATTTTGTTATAGCTCATTTTTAAGACCTAAGAATAAAAAATAAAAACACACACAGAAAAAACCATTAGTTTGTCAAAGAAATTTTCACAAAAGGGAAAAGTGTATCAATAATAAAACATTTTGGAATTAATCCAATGCAACATGTGTATCTTGCTTGAATCCTAATTAATTCAAACAAATTAGTTGCAAATTAAATTGAGAATATCAGGGAAATTAGAATACTCATGATAATATTAAAGAGTTATTGCTAAAATTTATATATTAATGTTGTGGTTATTTTTAAAAGATTCCTTAACTCTGAGACATATATGAAGTACCTGCAGATAAAACATTAAGATATCTTATTTCTTTCAAAGCAATGCAATGAAGTAAAAAAAAGTACTGGGTAAAAGTACAGGTGAAACAAATCTGTTATGTCTTGGCAACTACTGAACCTGGATGACAATATTTTGGGATTTATTATACTATTCTTTTTACTTTTGTTATTGAAAATTTCCCTAAGTTTTTAAAAATTGTCTTGATATTTCAAGGAAATTTAAGATTTCTTGAACCTGAATTTTTCATAAAACATACAGTGAATTCATCTGTCACATTTGTAACAGTGTTGAGATATAATTCACAGGCCATAAAATTCACACCTCTAAAGTATAAATTAAGTGGTTTTTAGTACATTAATAGTGGTGCAACTATCTCCACTAAATTTAGAAAGTTTTCATCACCCCAAAATCAAAACTGCTGCCATTGGCAGTCATTCCCCACCTTCTGCCTAGCCCTAGAAAACCACGAATTTATTTTGTTTCTGTGGATTTGCATATTCTGGACATTTAATGTGAATGGAGTCATACAGTATGTAGCCTGTAGCCTTCTGTGTCTTGCTTTTTTTAATTTGCCTAATCTTTTCAATACCCAGCCCCGTTGTAGAATTATTAGCCCTTCATTCCTTTTTATTGCAGAACAATATTCCATGTGTACATATAACATTTTGCTTATCCACTTAGTGGTGGACATTTGGGTGTTTGCCACTTTTTCGTTCTTATGAATATGATTTTGATTGATTTTGCATTAAAATCAAAATAATTTTTGAATATTTCAATAGCATGTGGGTATTCTCCAGTTTCGTTTCCACTTATTAGTTGAACATACACCTTCTCCCAAAAAGAAAAGAGAAATGCTAGTAAAAACAATGATTTCTTTTTTTTTTTAAAGGTTTTATTTATTTATCTGGCAGAGAGAGAGTGAGCACAGGGAGAGGGAGAAGCTGGCTCCCTGCTGAGCAGGGAGCCCGATGTGGGGCTCAATCCCAGGACCCTGGGATTATGACCTGAGCCGGAGGCAGACGCTTAACTGACAGCCCCCCAGGCACCCCACAATGATTTCATTTTTTCCCCCCTGATTTGGCCTAAGATATCACTTTTGTTTAAGAATGCTTTTCTGGAATGCCAAGTTCCCTAATAAGCAAAGAAAAACTGACAACATAGAAAAGCTTTGACCTAAATATTACCTGGGAGTACAATCTCAAACTCAGTGTTCTCAGTATTTGTTGAAAACATGGTGAAGAGAATAAATATGTGTGGGGATTTCATGAAGGGTTGTATTTCATCTAATTCTCTGAAGACGTATATTGCAAACAATCCCTGATTAAGCCAGACTAACAGAGTCACATGCCCAGACTGAATCCTTTTGCATTATACAAACCTGGTATGATGTCAAAATGCTCTGTGAACACTGGCATTTTATCTTTTATAAAGATATTGCCGACTTATTTTATTATACTGTATTTATTTTATGAGGAGCTTTGGAATAGAAATCAGATGTGTCTTGGGGATCAAGATGGTAGAATAGGAAGATTCTGAGCTTACCTCCTTCCATTGACAAACCAGAACTACAACTATTTATAGAACAACTATCTCTGAGAACAAATTGAAGACTTGCAGAAATTATTTTACACAATTAAGGATATAAAGGAAAAGCCATATCACATGATGGGCAAGAGGGGCGAAAATGTGGTTTAGTTGGGATCCACAATCCCAGTGTGATGACCCATAAGGGGTAGGGGGTCGTATCACAACCATAGAGGCCCTCCTCGAGGAACTAGGGGCTCAAGCCCTATATTGGATTGGACTTCTGAGCCCAGGGGTCCTGCACTGGGAAGACATAATGTCTGACTTTGGAAACCAGTGGGGCTTATGTCTGGGAAGGCAATAAGAAACTGAGACTCTGCTCTTAAAAAGTGTGCATGTAATCTCCCTTGTTCCAAGTCCCAGGGCAGAGGCAGCAGTTTGACAAATGCCTGGGTTACACATAAAGGAGATTATTTTACAGCATATGCCAGAGGAGCAGGGACTTGCTGTAACATTCTTTGGGAACAGAAGTGATGGTAGGCACCATTTCTTATTACTCCCCTTATATCTCACTGGCCCAGTTCTGGTGGGAGCAGTTTCTCCCCAAGTAACCCCCCATAGTGAGCCCCATACACTAAAGTGCCTGCAATAGTCACAACTCGACCTCACTGCCAGCCACATTGGAAGCCTGCCCCACCCACCAGGGCATACAAGCCACAACAGGAGGGTGCACACAGTCCACCCAGGGGATACCCCTGGGGCACCTCAGTTGGATGAATCACAGGGGTTTGTGCTACTGGGCCCCACAGGACACCTACATAAAGCTACTCCTCCAAGACTGGGTAATATAACTGATCTACCTAACACATAGAAACAGAAAGACAAAATGAAGCTACAGAGGAATATGTTCCAAGTGAAATAATCTACCCAAAAAATAATTCAGAATAATTACAATAAAGATGCTCGCCAGACTCAGAAGACCAAATCAACACAATGAGAACCTCAAGAATATAAAAATATAAAAAGGAACCAATCAGGGCTGAAGAATACTGAAGTAAAAAATATACTAGAGGTAATTGAGAGCAGATTAGATGATATAGAGGAATGACTCGATGTGGAGGACAGTAGTGGAAATCACTCTATCAGAACAGCAAAAAGAAAAAAAGAAAGACTAAATATAGTTTAAGGGATCTCTGGGGCAACATCAGGCATACTAACCTTTCCATTATAGGAGTCCCAGAGGGAGGAGAAAGAGAGAAAAAGGCACAGAAAACCCATTTCAAGTAATAATGGCTAAAAACTTACTAACCTGTTGAATGAAACAGACATACATGCCCAGGAAGCACAGAGTCGTAAAAAAGATGAACCCAAAGAGACCCAAACCAAGACATATTATAATCAAAGTATCAACAGTTAAAGAGAATCTTAAAAGCACCAAAAGAAAAACAACTAGATATAAGGAAACCCCCATAATACTATCACAACTGGTTTTTCAGCTCAAACTTTACAGGTGAGAAGAGAATGACAGGATATATTCAAAGTGCTGAAAGGAAAAAAAAAAAAAATCACAAGCAAGAATTCTCTACAAGATTATCACTCAGAATTGAAGAGAGAGAAGGAGTTTCCCAGACAAGTAAAAGTTAAAGGAATTAATCAACAACAAACCAGTCTTACAAGAAATGTTAAAGGACCTAATTTAAGTGGGAAAGAAAAGGCCATAACTAGAAAAAATAAAACTATAAAAGAAATGATCTCACTAATAAAAGTAAACATATCATAAAGGTAGTGGATCGACCCCCTACATATCTAGTATGAAGTTTAAAATACAAAAGTGGTAAAATCATCTAGACTTATAATTAGTCAGTGGATTCACAAAATAATAATATACAAAATAGGACCTCAAAACATGAAACATTGGGGGGGTGGTAAAAATAGAGTGCTTTTAGAACACCCCTGAACTTAAGTGATCTTCAACTTAAAGTAGACTGCTACAGACATAGAATATTATGTTATATATGGACCTCATGGTAACCATAAATCAAATACCTATAATAGTTTCACAAAAAAGTAAAAAGCGGACAAACATAACACTAAGGAAAGTCACCAAATTACAAGGGAAGAGATTAAGAAAAACAGAACTATAAAACAACAAAATGATAAGTACATGTCTATGAATAATTTTTTATTAAAGTCTAATATAGAATGTTAGTTTCAGGTGTGTAACATTGATTCAACAATTTCATACATTACTCAATGCTGACCATGTGTAGTTACCATAGAGTGTTATTATGATACTATGTACCATAATTCATTCGCTGTGCTGTAATTTAATCTCCGGGGCTTACTTATTTTATAATTGAAAGTTTGTATCACTTAATCCTTTTTTATCTATTTCCCCATCTCCCTATACACATTCCCTCTGGCAACTACCAGTTCTCTGTATTTAAGAGTCTGTTTTTTTTTCTTAATTTGGTCTGTTTTTTAGATTTTACATATAAGTGAAATCATACAGTATTCATCTTTTTCTGATTTATTTCATTTAGTACAATGCCCTCTAAGTCCATCTGTGTTGTTGCAAATGGCAAGATCTTCCTTTTTATGGCTGAACAATACCCCATTGTATTTATATATACCACATCTTCATTCATCTGTCAATAGACACCTGATTTGCTTCCATATCTTGGCTATTTTAAATAATGCTGCAGTAAACATGAGGGTACGTATATCTTTTTGAATTAGTGTTTTCATTTTCTTTAGGTAAATACCCAGTAATGGGATTACTGGATTACATGGTATTTCTATTTTTTAATCTTTTGAGGAAACTCCATATTGTTTTCCACAATGCACCAATTTACATTCTCACCAATAGTGCACAAGGATTCCCTTTTCTGCACATCCTTGCCAACAATTGTTATTGTCTTTTTAATTCTAGCCATTCTAACAGGTGTGAGGTGATAACTCATTGTGGTTTTAATTTGTATTTTCCTGATGATTAGTGATATTGAGCATGTTGTATGTATTTGCTGGCCATTTGTATGTCTTTTTTAGAAAAAGTGTCTATTCAAGTCCTCTGCTCTTTTTTTAATTGGATCTTTTTTTTTTTTTTTTGGTGTTGAGTTGTATAAGTTCTCTGTATAATTGGACTATTAACCACTGATCAGATATATCATTTGCAAATATCTTCT